TATAGGCTGCTGCTACTCAGCCTAGCAGAGCCCAAAGCTTGGTGCTGGAGCCAGTTCTAATCCTCCAGGACCGGAACAGGAAGTCTCTCTCTACATTAGAACCACATCATCTGATAAATGGATGCTGCCACATCACTGAGTGCCTGAACAGCGGTTAATCAGTTAGAAAACAGGAAATTATGTTGATGATCTTGTTTATGTTGAAGCACTTCTTGATCGATGGAAGGACAATAAATGAGATCGACTAAACAGTTCATCGATTGTCGATTGTGATCTGAACCAGTTCGTTTTATGTCCAGTTCTTCAAAAGGGAAAAAAATGATTGATGTTATTCACAAAACCACAAACTTCCTCCAGAAATACCAAAGAGTGAAGATGATCTGCTGAGTCAGCTTTTTAATTAGTGAAAATGGTTAGAAATTTGTTGCAATGTTATTGCAAGTAAAGGATGTTTCAAAAATTAAAATTTGAAGGGGAAAATGCATTTCAAAAATAAAACTTTTAAAAATTCCTTAATCAAAAATTCAATCATTAAATTTCAATCATGAAATATATGCAGTTAGCTATTTTTAAAATGTTTTTTTTCTTTCAAATAATTTTCAATTTTTTATTTTTTCAAATTTTAATTTGTCAAATTATTTTTTCAGATTTTATTTTTTCAAATTGTATTTTTAAGATTAATTTTTTATTTTTTTTTAGTTTAGGAATTTTCTTTCAGGTTTTATTTTCTTACGACTTTATTTCGTTTTAGAAATTATTTTTCTTATATTTTTTTGGTTTTTTTCTTCAAAACATTTTTCAAACTTTTCTTTTTTTAAAGAAGTTATAATTTTCCTCTAGTTTCCCTCCTTCACTGCTTTGGTTGGTGCCACATTGAAGCCATTAAGACACATTTAACAGAAGGTGATACCGTGGCTGTCGGGACGGTAACTGGAGCTGGGTCACCGTGCCTTCAGCCCAGCTGTAGTAATCAGGTTGCATAACGCTGGTAATGTGACTCTTGTTGGAGTTTCTTCTGCATCACTCAGACAAACTCATCACTTTGTGTTTACACGCCAAACAAAACGGAGCCAAACTTATTATCAGATAAACTTATTATCTCCATAAAGAAGCTGGACCAGGACTTCAGCCGCAATTTGCTATTCTTCTCTTGCGTTTGCCGCCAATTTCCTGTGGAGGTTTTATGCGAATACTTTATACCGCATGTCTAGCGCCACTTACAAGGCTGGAGGATTCATTTTTTAAAAGTTTTAAATGCTGTTTTGGACAATAAATTAATTAATCTTATGATAAATTAAAACGAGTATCAATAATTTCATCTGCATGATTGTTTTTCTATTTTCTCTGTAAAAAACTGGATGATAAAAGTCTTCAGCCTTAAACTTTGGTCTTTAGTATCTTCTGTTTTTGAAGGATAATCTTGTTTACAGAGACTTCATAATTCATTTTATTTGTTATTTCTGTTGTTTTGGATATTTAAAATGTCTTCCAGTTCCAGTGTTAAATGTTCATTAGAATCTAAAGTTAATTATCTTTGACAATGTGTTTTTGCATTATTAAGCCATTATCATAATACTGCAAAATGGTCTAAAAACAATAATCTGTTTATCACAATAACTTCAGGGACACTTTGTCGTCCAGGAAGGATTTTATAATGTCAGTCCTAATTATGATAAAACTGGTGATAAGTCTCATTTATTATGTCTTTTTTAGATAACTGTGACTGTGTGTCACAGATATTAAAGCTTCACAAACACAAATCCTGCTCTTAGAAATTGTTCCCATTTATTAAACGTTTCTTTTGGAAGCTTGTTAAACAAAATAAAGTGCGATTTGTGTCCCTAATCTGTACACACTAAGTATTTCATTTTCAAACTTATTGATATTGATACACTCCATGAACAGTGGAGAACATTTAAAAAATACCAACAATACAGACTGTTTTGGAAGATTTTAAACATTATTAATTGGAATTTATTGTGACAGTAACAAATCAAAAGTCTTATAATAAAGTTTACTGTACTAAATGGTAAATCATGAGATAAATGCTCACCACTAATGCATATTTTTAAATTAACCTACTTATTGTTTTTATAACCACCATATTTACCTTTAAATTTTGACCTTTCTGTACAGTGTTTTGCTCTGTATCCTTTTACATATCTTATTTTCTTATCTTTCTGTGAGTCTATTTGCTTTGACTGTGTGACCCTTTGCTGCGGAAAATTTATATTGTACTTCATGTTGAAGGATCAGTAAATTCTTCACATTTTTTCACATTAGACCTGCTGTATTAGGGTAAAATCATCGTTTGAAAAGTGCTGCTTGTATTTCCTCAGGTTATTTTTGCCTGATATCAGCATTATTGATGATCTGAAGCTAAACTACATTGAGGAAACATCAGAGATGATTCCTGGATTTCTCCTCTGAGGAATAATAGACATTGTTTCTGTGGCGGATGAACAGGGCGTCTTCCCCTGGGGCGTGAATGCTGCTCCGGCCAGGCTCTCCGCTGGCTGAGCATTAGGAAATGAGCTGAAGCGTTGCTCACTAACAGGGTTCAGGATTAACCGGACTGACAGCAGAAATGATTGTCCCGCTGACCCGGCTCACTACAAACAGCAACCATCACTGAGGAGGGAACCGTTTACGTTTAGGGAACTCCTTAAGACAAATTTAACTTCCCAGAAATAAACAACTAACCTGTCACAATAAGGAATAAATCAATTAATCACAATCATACGTTAAAATAAGCTCAACAATTGGATAATAACTGTGACAGAGATGATCCTCTGCAATGTGTAAAAAAAGTGTGATTTGTATCACTAAATTGCACGTGGTGACTGTATTTTCAGAATTATTGGAGCTTCTATTGATCAGAGGAGAAAAAGTAAAACTATCAATCTGATCATATGAACAGGTTAGGAGGTTTTAAACATTTTTAATTGGAATTTATGACAATGATAAATCAAAATTCTTATCAAAGCAAGAAATTCATCATGATAAACTATACGATAAGCACCCAATCCTAATGTAGTCGTTAGTTTGCACCAGAGCCGGACAACAAATCAATAACAATATCTATCACCAAAGACGTGATCAATATCAATAGATAATTTATCTGATAAAATATTCTAGAATATTCACTGAGCTCTGATCCAAAACCGCACGGATCTGGGAGATGAAGGAAGAGTACAGACTTTAGCTGCTCAATCTCTTACGGCTAGCTTAGCTACATTGGTAGAATCAGTCACTCTTTGGTTACCTAGCAACAACCTGCAGGGTTGTTGCTAGGTAACCAACAGCTTCAAGTCTGTTCAGCTTCAAGTCCGACTCCCCTCCCCAACTCTGGTTACCTAGCAACAGTCTGCTGAGTAACTGGCACAGCAGCACTTTAAGGTTTCCCCACCCCTAAAAACTAATCGATAATTATTAGAAAAATTTGTCAAGGAGTAAAAAACAAAACAACCAAAGCGCTAACACGGAACACCAACAATAGGAGGCGAGAACTGACTGCAGTTTTCTGGCTGATCACCAATCTCTAAAATGTCTGACCATACGATTTTGGCTGATACAGATTTTTATTTTCTGGAAAGTTGCTAAATACAAAGACGCTATACGACTACGTCGGCAAACCACCAATCTCCAATCTCCCAAATTTAAGAAAATCGGTTCAGACATATCGGTCGATCAATTTATTGGTGCATCCCGATCACATGACCAAACAAACACAACATAACCAACCTTATCCCTTCTCCATCAGCATCAAGATGGCTACAAACATCGGTTGTTAATGTCAGCCCAGTTTTACTCCCTATTGATCTATCCGTCTGCCATCGTCCTGTATTACTTTATATTTTCAGAGCTTCTTGTAATCAACTGAATCTGGCTATACATGAACTAAAAGGAGGAATCATGAAGACTAAAGTTAATATTTATACTGAACACGTTGGAACTGCTGATGGAAACATTTCTAACGTGGCCATTGTTTTGGTAGGTGAGGATTATCGTTAGACAGTGAAAGCTCAGCAGCAGTTAGAAAATCCTGCTGGTTTCCAGTCTGGAGGTGAAGAGTGGCCCAGTTAGGTATGATGTCATATTTCCTGTTGGTGACATCATTGGGGAGTGAGGTCTAACCTCTGACCTGACAAAACTGTGTGAGAGAGGGAGGACACAGGAAAGGAAAGGATGAAGGCAACAAGGAAGGAAACGGTTTAATAAACAAGGAAAGAAGGTAGGAAACAAAGAATCTAAAGAGGTAGAAACAAGGAACAGAAAGTTGGAAGAAACAAAAAAAAAACGGAAAGTAGGTAGAAACAAGGATTTAAAAAAGGAAAGATGACAGGAAAAGGGACTTAAAAAAAGGTAGGAGACTAAGAACGAAAGGAGGTAGAAACAAAGAAAAATGGCAGAAAATAAGGATTTATAAAACAAGAAAACAAATAGGAGCAAGGAAGGAAACAATGGTAGAAAAAAGGAAGGAAAGGAATGGAGGAAGGAAGGAAAAAAAACAGATGGAAGGCAGGATAACTGAGAAATGGAAGGAAGAAAACTGAGTATATAACGGGACAAATAAGTTTAGAGATATATTTCCCAGCCCAATTTATTATTCCATAAATGTTGGAGTGTAATCCCGGTGTGTAGGTGAGTAATCCCAGTCTACATGTGACATAATCCCATCAACATTCCCATGTAAACCCAGAACCAAGACGTTTCTCACACTTTGCTTTTTTCCCTGCAGGGACCCATAGTTTGGATGCGCGGTGACATTTATGTAATAATGCGTCCAGTGAGCAAAAAGCCAACTAAACCTCGGCAGGAGCAGGAAACCCCCCCCCGGCAGGATGAAATATTCCCGTTTCAGGAACATTTCCTCTGCCGGGGGAAGAAAGTGCAGCAGCGCAGCCAGCTAACTGGATGAGAGCGACCGTTACTAGCATAAACCCCGATAATCAGCCAAGACGTTCCGAAAACAGCCGAACCGAACCGAGTCACATTACCTCTCGCTGACCAGAACCACGTCGGCATCGGTCCAGTGTTTGAACACAGCGGGCAGAATCTTCTTGAAGACGAAGAAAAGACCGGGGAAAACTACAGCCCCGCATGCTAAAACTTGCCACATCCTGCCGGTGTTTTCCTCCCAACCTGTCCCGGAGACCTGGCCTTCTCTGCCCCGCTCGGCTGTCCGCGAATCCCGCTCGGTTACAGCCTGCGGCGGTGAGGCATTTCCACGGGGCAGAGCTTCGGTGCTTTTTTCACCGGGAACGGTCTAACATCTCCGCACAGTCACAGTGAAGAGAAGCGCAGCAGCAGCAGCAGCGGAGTCGATGCTGAGCTCCTTATCTAACGCTTACACTCCACTTCCGCTCAGGGTACCAACACAATAAAGCACGGCCGGAAATGCTTTTACTTTGAAGAGCTGCGGTGTTAACACGTTAGATGTTTACCTTGACATTCAGTGGATGAATGGATGGATGGGCTGATTTGGAAAAGTGCTTCTTCTGCTTAAAATTACTACTTTGTAATTATGTTACTTGTATTCATTTTTAATACGACAATTTGCATTCATGTCTGTCTGATTACTTTATTTTTAAAATATTAAGTCACACAATCAGGTCTTTTACTTAGAACTCAGGAGATCTTTTTACCAGTTACTTGTTTACTCTTACTTCAGTAATTTATTGACTACTGGTATTTCAGTATATTTGTAACAGTTTATAATTAAGTAAAAAAAAAACAAACAATATATGTACACATCCTGGCTTTTACATATTTTAAATAACATTATAACATTAATGCTGATTTCTGAATTTCTCTGCTGTTCCACTGTTTTTACAATCATCTATTGTAAATAGTCTGTCTTTTTAATACTCAAATATGCACAATTTCTCATTTTTAAAAATTAACCTTCTAAGTTGCATATTCCATTGAATAGGAAGTCATTATTTTATTTTATAAACAGTATTTATGTAGAATTTTTGCCCTTACTGTTCAGTGTGTTGCTTTTATTCTGTATTTGTATATTTTAATATTCATGTCTGTGTCTGAATTTACATGC